TGGGTGAAACTCGCTTCGTGGCGGGGAAGCAAATAATGTTTGCCTTCGAGTCTGCCCTTCTGTCTGATCCTGGTGTTCCTCAAAGCTTCAGGCACCAGCCAGACCCAACGTCTGCACTCCAGCTGCCAACTATGTTAACAGCAGCTGCTAATTCCCAATTACACTGCATTAATTTGGGTCTTCCATAATGCTTTGCTTTTAGAAATAAAGACTTAGCACTACAGATTGAGAGTTAAAGGGGTTTGTTGATTTTGTAACACATTTACGAGGTCTCTCAACAGGACACAGCCTTGGAGAAGTGAACTCAGTTACGGGGTTAAGCACTCACCCCGTGCACCCCAGCCTGCCCTACCCAGGCTGGAGCGTGTTCCTGCGGCTGTCACATTGGCACTTGGGCTTGTGGTATAACTGGGCCAGGGCACTTCTGTGCTCCCACGCCAGGACTGCACTTCCTGCCTTAGGAAACCACATCCAGTAAAGCAGTGTAAAATGGACACACTCAGCACCTCTCCAGATTAAAGCCACCTCACACTGGTTCCTGGCAAATCATCTGTGTTACAGACCCCAGCCCTGGCAGCATCTGATCATATCCACATTAATCTCCTGTATCCCTACTGTGTTTGTGATCTGTTGGGGGTCCCCCAAGTTCAGTTAGCAAAGGAGTGCAAGCAGCCATGGCCAGAACAACGCTGTCCAGTTGGTGAGGCCGAAGGAGGCCTTGTTAGAGCTGATTTGTACTGATCACAGATGATCCTCCCTAATCTCAAGATTTCTCAGTTTAAACTGCAATGTGCTTGGGCCAGGAGCACAACTTCAAAGCATGTCAACACTCTGTGTGTCACCAGGCTACTGCCGTGAGTTGCACACACAAAATGGCAGTGGGGGCTCAAGCGTTGTCTGGGCAGGGCCTGGCTGAAACCCTCTTGAGCTTCTCGGTGAGCTGGGCAGCAGGAGGCTCATGCTGGGACCTTCACTGCCTTGGTGGGCACAAGGGCCCATCCAGGCAGTGACAGGGGCTTCATTACAGGGGCTTCATCAGACTGCTCAGCCAAATCCAAATGTGCCCATGAGCAGGAATTCAGACATGAAAGGACTGAGTAGCTAACGCTTAGGTGTGACCAATGACCCCCCCGCTGAAGGACCCTCTCTGGCTCCTGATGCGTACAAGGGCTGCTGGGAACTAACCCAGCTCGTCCCTGCGTTGGGACTTCTGTGGCTGTGGAAAGCCTGGGGACCCTGTCGAGAACATCTCATAGCAAAATATCAGCAGCAGTCCCTTGAAAAGAGAAGAATTTCCTTGAAAAGGAAGAGTTCCCTCCTAGAACAGAATGGAAACCCTCTCTCTTCCCCCTCTGACTCTGCCTTTTTAGAGGGCAAGTCACTAAGTGGTGCAATACCTCTTCTGCCTCCCCATTCACAGCATCTCCTACTAACAAGCCAGGATGCTTATTTCCCAGGAATCAGCAGCCCATCATGAAGCAGGAGGGATTAACTGAGCAGCAGCGTGTGGGGAGGGATAGTGGCTGCACTCAGCCACAGGAGGAGCACTCGCCCTGGCTCATGTCTGGCCACGGCCGCTGGCCGAGGATGGGGGGCATGCCTGGCAGAGGATGGTGGACATGCCAGTGGCTGCGCCCACGATGTCCTACACTGCTGCCCCTGAGTCGTTACTTGTGATCACCAGCAACCTGATGCCAGCTTGTGCCTGGGATGTCAAAGGCTCTGTATCCTGTTACTAATTCACTGAGTCATCAGTCCCTTGATGCAGGCTGCATTTACACCAGCAACCTAAAAGTGAAGGCTCAGGGTTGCCTTCTCAGTCCTTTGATCTCTCCCTGTGCCCTGCCGTCTGTGCCAAAATAACTGAGTGTTGAAGCAGCCCCCCTGGTCCACCTACAGCCCTGATCCTTCACAAGCAGTGTGGGGCATGTGTTTTGGGTATTAGCCATTTCCTGCAGGAAACAGGGATTGGGATTTGGGATGTCCAAAAAGAGCAGCAGAGATGCATGAGTCAGAAGCACATGCTCCTGAACAGTATGAGGCTACAGGGCCCAGGTGCCCAGAGAGGACCGGCTCTGCCCTGCCATGTGGAGCTATTTGGAAGCCTCCTTGTGCCAGGATTGGAGATGAAAGCAAAAGGATTATCTCTGGAATTAGATTATTTAGACTGGAGTTTTAATCTCTGATCCTGTCTGCACAAGAAAACAGTAAAACTCCTTGGGATTATTGGGGGCTTGTTGTACAACTAAAACCACGCTTGCAGCAAGAGCTTCTGCTGGAAGGAGAAAAAAATGAATGCTCTGGAGACCTGCCTTGTCTGACCTGGTCACTGTATCATGGTGAGATCTGACAGATTATTTGGAAGAGCTTCCAGCTTTCCTTGGAAGTAGCTGTGGCTCCAGGACTGCCTCTGCAATGACACAAAGGTGTCCTGCAACCACCCTTCCCCTGGTACTGGTGTTCCTGTGTTTCTTGGGAAGACAAACACAGCTCTGCCACGGTACAAATGCAGGGACACCAAAGGACACTGAGTGCCACTGGTCCCTGTAGGCAGGCACAGTCACTGCTGCGTGCACGAACACGCATCTTCCTCAGTGAGCTCCACTGTAAGGGAAGCACATTTGGTACCAGCACTCCCTTTGGCACACACAAGCCTGCACAGGGCTCCCCAGTAGCAGGACTCTGGACTCTGTTCAGTTTATCACCCTCATCTCCTAAGCACAATACAGCTGCTGTACCAATAAATATGGAGATCTGTAAATATTCATTTTCCCATTTCTTGGCTCACACCCACATTTCCAAGACCGGACCAGCTCCATAGATACACACATATACTTTGCATACACCCACTTGCAAACAAACTCTTCTGCTGCTGCACTCCCATGTACTTATCTGCATTCCCTGCTTTGATGTGCACACACACAAACCTTTCCCAGTGCACATGCCTGTGCAAACATGAGTACACACAGACACAAAATATAAGGAGAAACAGCTTTTCCATTGCTGGGATATGAGCTATTGCCGCAGTTAATGCTGGTTGGCACAGCAACAGGAAAGCGTAAGAGGAAATCCTCCTTTGGGACATGGATTTGTGGACCTTGAGAATTTGAAAGGGAACCTGGGAAGTGAAAGACTTGAGATGGAGGAAGCAGGAGGATATAGGTCCTTAACCTCCCAGTTGGAGTAAAGGGAAAACTGAGAGGAAAACAGCTCCCATTACCACTGAGAAATGCACAGCAATGATGATGCCCTTTGAAGCCAAGCAGAAATTAGTCCTGGCAACTTGTAACTAAGCCTCTGCATAGAGAAAGTACAGCCGTAGGTCTGGCAGGGTAGGGGAAGACAGCAGGAGGTTGGAAGCACCTTGGGGGAAGGAGAAGAAGGATGATCACAGAATAGGGCCGGGAGGCTTCCATTGTGGTCACTGCTGCAGACATGTGCAGCATTTTGGAGTGTGGACAAGCTGGAGAGCAGGGCACTGCCAGACAAGGAGGATCAAGGCCAAACACTGGCACCATGAGCTCAGCTCCCACAGCACAGCCCCCACTGTGCATTCATTCACAGTTGTGTTTGAAATCGTCTGAAAAGGGGTGATGGTGGCTACTGCTGCCTATCCCCATTCCACCCAGCTCCCCTCTGTGTCCTTTCTCCCATTACTCCTTGCCATGACACTGTGGGGGCTCCCACCTGCCCCCTTGCAAGCAGAGGGAATGCAGGGGTTGGGGACCCTCACACTGCTCTCACCACAAGGCATCTCAAGGCCCTCAGCTGCAGGCTTAGTGGCTGGCAGTGACTCTCCTTCCTGTGGCAAGGACTCGCTTCTGGATGCTGGTGCAGATGATGGGGTGTGCATGTGCTGAAACTCTTTTCCCCCAGCCCAGCCACCACCTCTTAGGGACATCCAGACATCATTTCAGCGTGCATATTTATCGCTTTCTCCCCTCAAGACATGTATTTGAATGTACTCTTGGTAAACATAACCACAGGAGATGCGAAATATGTGCCGGGGAAGCATAAATAACTCCACACAGATAGACACACACACATAGACAGCAAACACAGACACGGTTCACCAAGGGAAACCAAGAAGTGCAGAGCACGCCCTGAGGCTGCCACCAGTCCCAATGGCTTTGCTCTCATCCACCAAGCCAAGAGGATTTCTCCTGCTCTTGCTTTGCAGCAGCTGGTGGGAGAACAAAGCTGGGGAGGAGGAGTCTAAAGTTGCAAATATCCCATGAAAGCATCATGGCAAGTCCTGGCTCTGCAGTTTCCTGCAATCATCTCCAAGGAATGGTTCCAGTTGTAGGAAGTTGCAAGTCTTTCACAGTGTGAAAGGGTGGAGGGGCATGGGGACCACCATGAGGGAGGAGCAGCAGGTCATCTTGCAATGTCCCAATTGCAGCCAGCCGATAAACCTTCATGTGGGAACATCGGGGCTAGATGCTCCATCTAGGTCCTCTTCTGCCCTCTCTAAGGTGCTGATTCTTCTTTAGCTGAGAATAATCTTCAACGGGACATCATGCGAACAAACTCTGCAACCAGTAAAAAAAGACAGGCCTGAAGCAGACTGCATCCATGGTCCCCAACCCAGCTCGCATTCTCTGGAGACAGCATGCAGCCAGGCAGAAACCCAGAGTCCACACAATGCCAGCAGGTCTGTGCTGCTCCGCGGCTGCCCTGGAGAGCTCCCACAGAATGGGCTTTTATCCTTGCATTAGATAAAGTGATAGCATCTCACTAGCAGGTCAATTCATTGCCTTGGACTCCTTCCCAGCAAGTGTACAGACTTGTATACACAAGCAGCTCCTTGTGAGACACTAGGGCAAGTGTTGTCTCCTCTGTAACTTCAGGGGACCTTGATTTATAGCCTTGGGAACACAGTATGGCTTCTCAGTAAGCTTGCCACTTCACAGAGACACCGTTGTGGGAAAGCACTAGTGTTTTGGTAGGTACCAGCATTTTTACAGAGAAAAGTTTACTTTGATGGACTCTGTGTTTTTAAAGTTACAGGCTAACTGTAAGGCTACCCTGGATTTATTTCTTCACCACCCTGCAGCTTGTGAAGTCAATTACAATTGTTCAAATTGAGTGTAAATGCCATCAGAGATAAATGTGTTTTCATTTTGCACTTGAATTGCCAAGGAACTAATAACTCTGCAGAAGGAGGGCAGTGGAAATTACCCCCTTGACTTCTCTTTTTCCATTGATGGAGCTGTCTTTTGACAACTAAAGCAGTAACTCACAGAGAAAATGATACTGGGATAGCATTCCATGTATTTTAGCTGTCTAACATAATTTAGCTGTGGGAAACAAGGAGAGCTACTGTCATGTAATCAGCAAGTGCATTAGAACAACTGCAGCTACCAGATACTTTCCAGGGAGACGCTTCGAGTTTTTGAAGCCCTCAGAAGCTTCGGTAATCCTGAGGACAGACACTCTTTGTTATGTGGGAGACCCAGGAATGCTCTGAGCCAAAAAAAAAAAAGAAGTCTATTTCATTTTAATTCTGTAGTTCTTCACTCTTACTGCAAAGAGATGTCTGGATTTGCACTAGGAAAACAGCAGCCTGCCACACTCTCACACCTTCCAGCTCTTATATCCGCTTAGCTGTGTGCTATCAACTGCTTCCCTTGCCAGAAACACTGAGCTCTATTAATACTGCTCCTGCCATGGCTAATAGCACTCTCTTTTTCCCAAGTCCTTCTGGCATGAAAAGTGGGAGAAGAAATGAGTTATCTCTAGGATTTAACAAGACACCTCCAGATCAGATATCTGCAGTCCCACTGAGCATATCTGGCATAAAGGCACAGAAACAAATTCTCTATAAAAGCAGATAACAAGGTGAGCGAGAGGAAATGGAGGGTACAATGCATTCTCCAAACCAATCCAGCCTCCTCACAGCTTTTGCAATAGATTTATTGTCCCATAAAAAGAAGGCTGGCACAGCATGTGTGCACCCAAATCTCCTTCTCTGTGACAGGGCATCTCTCTTACCATGTTAGGATTATGAAAACCCAATTGAAACTGAGATGCAGCAGGAGATGATACACAAATGAACACTTCATCTGAGGAATCTCCTGTGGGGGCCAATGTTCTCCATTTTCCTCAGATGATGAGGAAAAAAAAATCTTGAGGTTTTTTTTCCATACTTCAGATACCTGGGCCCTGAGCACGCGAATCTTCCCTTCTGCTTCTGCCTCTGAGCTGAAACTCTGACTCACACCAGAGCAGATGGACAGGGAGCGTTCATCCCTTCTCACCTTCAAAATCAACACGCCCATCTCCATTCAGGTCCACATCCCGGATGATCTCTTCAATATCCCGATGGCCCACCTGCTGCCCTAGAAGCTTCTTCATGGCTTCTCGCAGCTCACTGGTGCTGATCTCCCCGTCACCATTGGTGTCAAACTGTGAGTACATGAAACGTACCATCAGGGGAAATACAATTAATGGAAATGGATCCTGCTCTGGGCTGGATTTTGTACTGTCCTGCTCCCAAGTGCCCTGGTTTTCCTGCATTTCTTTTGTGCCCCTCCTTTTCCTCCTTTGCATGCCTTTTGGATCCAGTCTGTTTTCTCTTCAGAAAGCCCTCGTAACTGCTGCGTCTGCACCAGCTTTGCTCTTCCTTGCCTCAAGGGTTCCCTTATCTTAGTGACTTTCTCTGCTCCTCCCTTGTTTCACGCCTGGCTTGGCTCTTTCTCTGTCTTACACTGCACTGCTTTCTCCTCCTCTTCTCTTCCCCAGCGGGCCTTCTCTCCTTCCAGTCTCCTGTTGCTCACCTCTCTGGGGGCACAGAGTAAGGAACACTCACCTCTCTGAAGGCATCACGGAGCTCTTTTACACCAATCATGTCTGCAGTTTCTGCTAGCAGCTTTGGTCCCATCAGCTCAACAAAATCTTCAAAATCCACACGGCCACCCACTTGGGATAAGACAAAACATTGTATGTAAGAACTCCATACATTAGCCAAACCCAGCACTCACTTTGCACTTCTGTGAGCCTCATTGGTTCTCCAGGAAGCAAAGCACAGAAGGTGCAGGACAGTGGAAGGAAAAGCAGAGGTAGTTTTACACTGTCTTTGTATTTTCTGGATGATGGGCTAGGTGGAACGAGCCCAGGCTATTCCATTCTAGGCTGCCATGGACTGTCACATCCTTATGGCATCACATACTAGGATTTAGATGCTTGATCATTTCTAGTGCTTATAGCAACCCTCTGCTGCGCTTGAGCCAAAGGGTACGGCAAGGGCACAGCATGATATTCCTGCATGGCCTGGGCAGTGCCCTGCAGCAGTGGTGGAGTCTTGCTCCATTAGCAGTGCTAATGTATGTCCAACTGCTCATTCATAGCGTCAGTCCTTGTTCTTGTTTGTCCCTATTTAAAAGCTGGCAGTAACACTCTCCAGTTCCTAAGCGCTTGTGTGCCAGGGTTATCAGCAGCTTTTGTGTGTGCCTGGTTGCATATGTAACAACAGTTTTCCTTCCCCTGACAAAGTTATTTGTCCGTTTTACATCATGTGTCAGAAACAACATGCACTGAACACCCTTTTCCCCACCTGGCTGAGACTAATACCCTGCACTGCCACAGACACGAGGCAACAAAAGATGATGGTGAAAGACAAGGAGCACAAACACAGTGAATATGACACATCTGTCACATACTTCCATGACTCCAGCAGCTGCCCCCATCTGACACTGCCAGCACAGCTTGCTCACAGCCCATCCCCAGGCACACAGCTGGTCCACAAACAACCACCACAGAGTGAACAGCCCATCCATCACCCATCTGACCAAAGCTTCTCCATCTTCCCATCTTCCCAGGCTCCTTCTTCAGTCTGACACCAGCTGGCAACAGCTTCAATATGACAACGCCCACAACCAGAGCGCTGATGTCTAACTGCCCACATCAAGAGCAGTTTTATACCTGACAACATAGCATGAAGGACAACCTTTCCATTCCCTGTTCCCATACAGCATAGTCCACACAGTCCCTTTGTTAAGCAAGAAACAAAGACATGAATTCCTAGGGACCACAAACAAACAGGAGAGATGGTAGGGAGTGAAAATGAGAACCAAAAGAAGAGGGAGTCTGAGGGAAGGAATCCAAAGGAAAAGAGACAGCAGGAGACTGAGAAAGCCCGAAACAATGATGCAGGGCATAGCAGTGACAGGGAGCTACAGCTAGGTGGATGTTACTCACAGTTCATGTTGATCTGCTGGGAGAGCTCTATTAGCTCCATCTCGGTAGGCATGTAGCCCATGGTCCGCATGCAGTTCCCCAGGTCCCTGCAGTTAATAAACCCATCTTTGTCTTTATCAAACTCCTTAAAGGCTTCTCTTAATTCTGTGGGAGTAGATCCAGAAAGAACAATGCTGTCAGTGACAGCTCGAAATACCTTTTCCAAGAACCCTCCCCAGAACCAAGAGCACTTTATGAGGCCAGACTCCCTTAGATAGTCCATATGTTCCCTTTGCAGATCTCCCTGTAAAGACCAATGACTGGAGCGATGTTAAACTCCTGTATCAGCAGCTGCTGACCCATTCCTTACAGGAAAGCTTGCTTGGGCTACAACTGTCACAAACTGATCATTACTAAAGTGCACTCCCTAAAGAAACTGAAACTAGTAAGTTTTCCCAACTTTTACCCCTGCACTATATTATATAGCCCTCACTGTAGGGATTAGTAGGTAAAACAGCTTCCCTGGAGTCATATACTATTGTATTACACTCTACAACACTTTCTGTGGGAGCTGTGGTGGACAGCCAATATCCCACCGCTTTACTTATCTTCCCACCCTGAAGAGGCTGGAATGGATGCAAATTCCTTCACAGTCAGCACTCTCACAGTTTTCTTTTGCTGGGGTTTCCAGGAATTATTCCAGTAATCATCTCACTCGATTTGCCCCAGATTATTTTACCCTTGGGGGCCAAGCTGGAAGGGCCTGCCAGTAGGAGCAGGTTTTCACTGGGCAGGGAGAAAGGTGACACAGAAGAAGTGACAAATTTTACCTTCAATTTCTTCCGGACGCAGTTCTCTGTCCTGCAAGACAAGAAAATATTATGTTAAAGCTGTTTGCTTGCCAAAAACACAGTTTAAGAACAGCACTTATTGGTGCAAACAGTTCTGGGACAAGCCAGAAAGTGAGAGAAGAAACAAGAAGGTGATGACATGTTTAATACCATCTACTTGTCAAGGCTCCCCAGCTCTCCTCCCCAAAAGTAGGGGTTATCCTGCACACTTTTCTGTGGAAGCCCCTCTCCCTCTCATCTGCTGACAGGGGGATGTTAGATGCTTCCCTAAAACAGAAGAGATCTGGGCCAGCACAGCAATACGTGTGGCCTCCCTATCTGATGGTATTATGAGCACCTTCATGAAGCTCCTACATCATTCCCCAGCACTAAGTCCTGAAGCAGAGACTGTCCCTGCAGCAGTTACAATCTCTTCTAGAGCTCTGATAGTTTTTCCTACTGCAGCTCCCGCTCACAGAGCCAGATCAAAACAGCTGGAAGCAGTCCCTGTAACCAGCAGGTCTATACAATCATCTGCTTGGATCACTGCTTGATACCTGTCCTTCTGGCATGACAGCAATAGCCACAAGCTCTCTTCAGCCCACGCCCCAGTGCCATCACCTACAGTTAGTCCCCACAATAAGGTAGGAACTTCTCCCTTCCCCCCAGCCTCAACTTCATATACAAGTGCATGAAGGCAGACACACAACATATACATCATCAAGGTCATCTACAAACAAAACAGGACAAGGATTCACCATGTTCAGGAAACACTGCAACTTCAAACATCCAATTGGAATTTCTTGGAAGAAGGGGAAGGATATAAAAGAGTATAGGAAAATTCCAACACTGCACCAGGAAGAAGAGATGAGCATGGAAATGCACTGCTTTCTGGTTTAAATGCCCTTTCTAATTCCTTTCATGGCTCCCAGGCAAATCCAAAACATCTGAGAATTTGGAAACACAGAAACACGATCTCTTTTGTCGTCTCACTCTCGGCTTTTCCCCTTAACCATGCGGAGTTTCTCCTTGCCTTCCAGGTGTCCTCCAGCCTCACCACATGTCCCTGGAGACGGTGCCTTTGATCAGTTTGAGGGTGATCCTTTGCTATTTAACCACAGGCTCCTCTGGAAACTCTAATGGCAGCTGCTCAGAGTGCATAGCAAAGTAGGACACACACTGGTTTACGTCTGTGCAGAAGTGGGCTGTGCCAGAGAAACGACCAGCTTGCCACTCATAACCTTCCCAGAGGCATCTCTGTGCTGGATGGAACTGTCGGAGCGCGCTGGCTCTGCCATTTCATCCTTCACAGAACTGGTATTTTCAAACATGTCATCCCATTTGTTCCGCTTTCATCAACAGCAAGTAATAAAACAATTCAAACTCCTCAGACCGGATGCAGGAGGCGTTTTTGCCCTCCTGCCTTAGATAAAACAGCAGATGAAAACCACGTATGATCAGTACCAACACCTTGTGCACCTCATTCCAGAGTGTGCGGGCGTTAATCCCTGGGGATCCTGCTGTGTGCCAACAGCTCAGTGCGGCAGCAGATGCAGGGTATGACTGCAACGGTGCAAAGGGCACCCTAATGCACCCACAGGGCCTGTGGTCTTGTGAGAGTGGCTGGAGTAGGACGCAGGCCTTCCTCTAGCACAGTCATCACAAACCCATCCTCCTCCTCACTCACTGAAGAGCACCCTGTAACCGACACAACTGACACATGCAGGAAGTGGGGGCTTCAGCACCAGCTCTAATTCTGCACATCAAGGCATTTGTGTTTGCAGGGCTCTCAGCATATCTTTGCACATGCAGATTGTAGCATCAGAGAGCCACAGACTGCAAATGCAAAAGGAGGGGGAGGGCTTACGTCCCTCCAAAAATCTGACTCAAGCAATAACTAACGTCATGAAGAGGTTTTCTGTTTTAAATTTGAAAGAAGAGCCCCTAAAATGATAAAGGAGGAAAATTGCTTGGGAAGAAATGGGCTGAATCACTCTACAGCTTTTGGAGAACATACGGAAAGAGGAATAAAACTGTTCAGAGTTTAGATCCTAGATACGAGCAGAGGTGACCCTCAGAGAGTCCACTGTACATAATGGTTTTACTCTCATTTATTTCTTTTCTACGCACAATAAATCCTGTTGGTCTAGAGAGTCAGTAAAAGTAAAGCTGTTTATCAGGTGCACTTATTCTACATCAAGATAGTTACAGACATCACTAATCCTATTTTGGAGGCTTCTTAGGGCACTGTGAGTTTCCACAGCCTAAGCAGGATGGATACCTGTCCAGCTGTGCGCCTCCCACTAGAGAGCGGGACCTATCTCCTATGACAAGAAGCTCTGTGCATGCCAGAAAATGTGCTTGTGTAAGAATACTATGTTTTGTATTCTAGTGAAGTGGCACAAGGAGTATGTGATCACTCGGTGGCTGAAGGTTAGGAAGAACAAAAGCCCTTTGATCAATGACAAATAATGACTATTTTTTGTGTTGCTGGTTGAAGAAGGTGTTTCAGAAATAAAGCCCTAGGTGTCTTATAAACCTCTAGATAACCGTATCAATGCACAAGTAAGACAGAGATTTCTTACAGAGGCAAAACAGCTCTGACTCTCAGGGAACTGGGGCGAGCTTTGTTTCACCACAAGAACATAGAATGCACCAGGTGAGTATCTGACAAAGCACATATTCATTCATCCATATCCATAAAAACTGTGCTAATCATATGTTTGTCTATGTCTTTAAACTCATGCTAATGTAGGAATCAAATGCTTATGTAAAAATCTGTTTTATTTCTTGTAAAGATTTAGTACTGGGGTGCATATTTATGTATATTTAACATGTCCAAGTGTATATATTGAATTTACATACAAACACATATTTGTATTGTTTGGATATAAATGCATGCATTAGCTGCATATGAACACATAGTTACAAATCAGTGTGACTGAATGGACAGATGCGGTTTTGCTATCTGTGTGTGTATACGGGTAATAGCTCCTGTTAGTATAGCACTATCTGCACCTATGAGGACAGACTGATGTTGTTTGGTTTATCTGGCTGGGATTGCTGCAGTGTCAGGCTGGGTACGATAGCATATAAGAGATAAGCATTTGGGTATTTGTGAGGAGGCAGATGCATGCTTATTCCCGGTGGTACTT